CTCTCTCTCTCTCTCTCTCTCTCTCTCTCTCTCTCTCTCTCTCTGTGTGTGTGTGCCCCCTGTTCTCTGTTGCCGGCAAGAAACTGCTCTCCATGTCACTGACAAGCTGCCGTGTGTGTGTGTGTGTGTGTGTGTGTGTGTGTGTGTGTATGTGTGTGTGTGTGTGTCAGTGCGCGAAGGCGCTTTTGACAACCAAGAAAGTGGCGCGGCCAAGAAAGTGGAAGCCTGTTCAAGCCACTCACCAAGCTCTGGCTGCTACGTTGGCAGAAAAGTGTTGTATCTTTCCATGTTCTAGTAGAAGATTCATTGTCATTTTGCACATTTGCTGAGGAGTGAAGCAAGGCCCCAAGTAGGGGAAAGAAATGAATCTCCGACCAGAACATGAAAAGGTACATCGCTACTTTTCTTTTACCCTTTTTTTCAAGGCTCTGAGGCCCTCATCCGTGGTCCAGAACTGAGCCTACTCAGCCTGAACCGGACCCCCTTGTGAAGGTAAAGTTGGTCCTGTCGCATATGTGTTGTAAACACACGGTATGTGTTGTATTCGTTTACAAGGTATATGCGTCATGTTCGGGGAAAACGGTAGTGTGGATGGAAGTGGAGGGACGCTGGACCCGGTTTCCAGCAGAGCTTAAACTGGGTAATGGCCCCAGTACTTTTTCCCCCGAACATAAGGCATATGTGTTGTAGACGAATACAACGCATACCGTGCGTTGTATTCGTTTACAACACATATGCGTTATGTTCGAGTGAACGAGACCAACTTTGTCTGCACAAGGGGGTCCCGTCCAGGCTGAGTAGGATGGGATTCTCAGAGCCTTGGCAAAAAGGTAAAAGTAAAATAGCGACGTACCTTTCCATGTTCTGGGTTGAGTTTCATTCCTTTCCCCTACTTGGGCCCTCTCTCTACTCCTCAGCAAATGTGCAAAATTCGAATGAATCTTCCCCTAGACCATGGACAGACACAACCCTTTTTTTTTTTGTCTCGGTGACCTCCGTAGTGCAGCGAGACCTTGGCGAGTGGCTTTCTTATTTTTCCACTTTCTTGGCCGCGCCACATTCTTGGCTGTCAGAAGTGCCACTTTCTTGGCTGTCACAAGCGCCTTCGTGCAGGGGGGGGGGGGRGGAGAGAGAGAGAGAGAGAGAGAGAGAGCACTGGCAGTGATCTGTGATTACCGGCCTGCACGGGCCTGTCCCGTTCACCAGGGCAAAAACGGACCAGGCGTTGACCTTCGGGGAAAAAGAAAAAGGTTGTATTTGAATACAACAATTTTCTCTTCGTGAAATTCACACACAGAGAGAGAGAGAGAGAGAGAGAGAGAGAGAGAGAGAGAGAGAGAGAGAGAGAGAGAGAGCGGACAGTGATCTGTGATTACAGGCCTGCACAGGCCTGTCCCGTTCACCAGGGCAAAAACGGAGCAGGCATTGACCTTCGGGGGAAAGAAAAAAGGTTATATCTGAATACAACAATTTTGTCTTCGTGAAATTCAGATGTAATGTAAGGCATATGCGGAGTGTTCGAGCAGAACGTATATGCGTTATATTCGAAGTGAACTTGTATTTGAAGAAAAGGGTCTAACTTTCCAAAAACCCATTTTTTTTGAAAACTCGAATACAACGGATATGCGTTATATTCGGGGAAGACTGTAGTCCGGGTTGTTTGTGAGGGGAATACTGTTCATCTGCAATAAATCCATTGATTTCTTCCACACAAAAAAAAAAAGAAAAAAAAGCCGCAGCCTCGAGACGGCCGTTCTGTTTGGTAAGAAAAAAGAAAAACCGACAGCATCGGACCGTATTTACGGCTTCTATGCATTCTGGTTCGAGGCGCGTTGTGTTCGACAGGAGAGTGTATCCTGGTGGCGATTGAGATCGCGATGCTGATGGACCGCGACCGCGATGGTCATCGTCAACGTCATCGTCAACAACCGTTTTCCCCCGAATTGAACGCACGATCCTTAACGCTGTATCTGGACTGAAAGCTGGCCGAAATGCACCTTCAGTGATCGTTACGGAACTGGTTGCTGCGCGCCGTTTCTTCGTCCTTTGCTGGCTATGGCGGTGGCGTTGGAGTGCAAGGATCAATGGTGCAAGACGGTCTTGACTCCAGAAGCGTTAGAACGATGGAGGGTGGGGAGTTTGCCCTCGATATACTATGTGTCGGACTATATCAGCCAGGAGGAAGAAGGTCGGCTATGGAAGGAGGTAGGTTGTTTTCATCTAAGGGAAAAAAAAGAAGAGAAAAAGAAAAATAAAGGGGAAAAAAAAAGAAAGAAACAAAGAAAGAAAGAAAGAAAGGTACCGGGTTGATATGTAGGGGTGTGTTCCCGGGCCCCGCGGTGGTCTCAGTTGGAATGAAAAGCGCTTCGTTTCTCCAAAAAAACGAAAAAAAGAGAAAAAAAAAGAAAAAAAAAGAAAAGAAAAAAAAAGAAAGCAAGAAAGGTGGTCGGAGATGGACGGAGAGGTAGGTTGTCTTCATCCAAGGGAAAGAAAAAGTTAAAAAAAAAGAAAAAAAAAAAGTAAAGAAAAAAGTAGAAAAAATAAATGGACGGAGAGGTAGGTTGTCTTCATCCAAGGGAAAGAAAAAGTTAAAAAAAAAAAAAAAAAAAAAGTAAAGAAAAAAGTAGAAAAAATAAATGGACGGAGAGGTAGGTTGTCTTCATCCAAGGGAAAGAAAAAGTAAGAAAAAAGTAAAAAAAAAAAAGTAAAGAAAAAAGTAAAAAACAAAAATGGACGGAGAGGTAAATTGTCTTCATCCAAGGGAAAAAAAG